GACATGAGACTAGATATTATATTGATATCGTGACATGAGACTAGATACTCTACCTCTGAATAGTTTCAGATGTCAAAGATGGCTCGTTGTCACTAAAATATTAAATACAGACAAATATGTAAGAATCTCGTCAGTGCTTCATTAGAGCAGATCTGAAGACAGGGAGGAAATACAATCAAATGAACATGAACAGAGGAACATTGAAGTGAAAGTGAAAATAAGATCGAAACAGTTAATGTGACATTTGACGGCCATTGTTTGTTTGTGTCATAACTCTAGTGTTGCTGGCAGGGGACCATTTGTTTAGCTGATGGACGGACGGATGGATGGATGGATTCTTACCGGAGGTCGGGTCCAACAGGAGGATCATGACAGTCCCGGTGGAATCCTCGACCGCAGAATGAACAGATTATTGAACTGCTGGCTGACTGACAGGCGGAGCAGCTGACCATCACCAGAGTCACAGGTGACTCCGGTGACGACGGCAGCTCAGCGATGATGTCATCTGTGACCTCACCTGCATGGGTCTGTGACACATCAAAGAGGAACACCTGGATCACTTCAAAGTTAGCTGGATCATTTACATTTTGAAAAAGATCTGGGATGAGAGAAACTTCTATAATCTATTGCCCCAGTGCATGCTGGGAGGCTTAGCTACACACGCCCCATATAATTTCAGTTAGGATCAATGATCAGCACAATCAACTCTACCATTGTTACCTTTATTTCAAAATAAGAGCATACTGCTTTTAAAGAACCAGATTATTAAGAATTAAGAGAACATCTTGATTTCTTGCTTCACTCTGATTTTATGATTCATGTTGCACGTTTACTCTGTGGTGGAAGAACTATATAATAGTACAGAGTGAGTCCTATAGTACTGAAATAAGGAACATTGAGAATTATTCTCTGTGCAGAGAAGGTCCAATCTTCATACAGAATGCAATGCAGTGTGATGGAGGAAAAGACCCAGTGTGCAGGGTTTATGCATCTTATAGAGGAGCAGTGCACAAGGGTGGGGGAGGGGTAGGTTGAGTCCTCTGTACATTCTCTACTGCCCTCTGGGCAGTAGAGAATATATACAGTCAGTCAGCAATCCGGCATTAACAGCGTGTATACGAGCCTCGGAATAAAAGCCTGCTGCAGTGCATCAAGTCTGTTCGTCTGGGTCATAATTATAATACAGAAACATTACAATCTGTACAACAGTTCCTAATCTAAACATTCTATGATTAACTGTCTGCATCCCCATTCAGTTACTTCCTTTAATGGAACCTATAAACATCCTACATATGGTCTTGTTATACATTGACTGACTTCCTCTCATGGAAGCTAAGCAGAAACACCCCATATGGTCGTGTTACCATTCAGCTCGGTACACGATCATATGTCACATATATGGTCTTGTTATTGAGGAAGTCACAGTAGAAAAGTACTAGCACAGTGGAAACTTTCCATCACAACTTTGGGTTAATAGTATTTAACAGGGTGAGTTATATATCGTTTAGGGTTTGAATATTCCTTCATATGCAAAAGTCCTGCACTCCAGCTTTAAATGGTTATTTAGCTTAAATACATTTTCTCAACACACAAACATTTAACATCAACACATCACAAATTCTACCTCTGAGATGTAGTGGAGGAGAACTAGAAAAGTAAAGCACTTCAGTTAGATACATTCCACTACTTTACCTGAGTGTCTTCTCTCTTCTCTTTCAGGTAAATCTCATCTTCAGAATCACCGGTAACCGGACCAAAACAAGGGTCTGGACATCCAGGGTGGGGCGGAGTTACAGGCAGCTGGCTCAGAGAAACTCTGGGCTGCCATTGGCCCATAATGTAGTCCAGATGTCCAATCATAGAGCTCTGTTCAGTTTCTGTATCTGATACTTCAGGTGCAGGTTCAGGTTCTGTATCTGATACTTCAGATGCAGGTTTAGGTTCTTCCGGTGCAGGTTCAGGTTCTGTATCTGATACTTCAGGTGAAGGTTTCGGTTCTGCAGTTTTTCTATAAAAAACATACCGTTCCCCTGCTGGTGCAGGTTCTTCAGACACAGTTGAGGTCGGTTCGTTCTCTGCTGGTTCCGGCCGCTTCGCTGGGACCGGCTGTATGTTGCGATTACAGGCGGAGTCCGCCACAGCCCTCACCACAGGACTCTGCTGCTGGTCTTTCATAGAAGAATGAGGGCTGATATCTGGGGTGAGACACTGGTAGGAGGACGAAGGGCTGCTGGTTGTAGTAAAGCGGATATCCTTCAGAGGTTGATGCAGCGCCGTGCCACTCGGCCCGCCAGAGATCGGGTTTCCTTTGGTGGTTGCAGGAAGTGTCTGAGGGCTGATAATTCCTATCGGACTCTTCTGGTGTTCAGGCGAGGTGTTTCCAGGTGAGGTCGGACTGAGCAGCATGGGAAACTGAGGCATGACTGAAAAGGGGGTGAAGCAGAACGCATTGTTTGGGGTCTGAGTGTTGCTCAGCAGGATGGCATTGGACTGGTTCTGGGGGGCAGGGGGTTTGTTCAAATCCAGTGACGGCTGAACCAGTTGGAAGACCGGAGATGGATCTGCTGAAGGAGGGTGGTGAACGCTGACAGGCGGAAGGTTCCCTGAAGTAGGATTTGTCAGATGCCACACCAGTCTTGAGTTATTTGTGAAGGACAGTTGTTGGACAGTTTGAGTTGAGGTAACTGGCGCGATTGTGGTCAAGGGAGTTTTAGACTGGTTGATGCCCGGACTGGAGGAGGAAGGATGACTAAACTGATTGGACGACAACTTCCGTGAAGTAGAGGGACAGTTGACTGGAACAGGTGAGTCATTGGCCCAGGTGTTCCCGTTTTGAGGAAGGGTCACACAGGAGGGTGCAAGACAGGTGGAGGTGGTTGGAATGACGGTGGAGGACGAGAAAGGAGAAAGACGCAACTTGCTGGACAAAGACATTGAGGATGTTGAGGAACAACTGACGGGAACGGGTGCAACAGGTGAGTCAAAAGTGTTCCTGGTTTGGGGGAGTGGTCTGTAGGGGGGAGTAGGCCCGACAAGGGTGGTAGGGGAGGAGGAGGCGGCATTTGGAGTTTTCTGATTGGAGGTTGGTGAGACGGAGAAGGGGATCCATGAAATGTCAAGTGCACCTGGAAACAGAAACATCCTCAGCAAATATAAATCATCAGGATGTTTAGAGCCAATCAGAAACATAAAAACATGTGATGTCATGTTAAATATCAAGTATCCACACCGGTTTACATGATAGAAAAATCTATCTCATTTCCGAGGGGGATCTACCGAAAACCCTTTTATATTCCAAAGGGGACATCTAGAACCCACCGAGGTGGATCTACCGAGAACTTGTTCATATTTCAAAGGCACCGAGAACCCTTTCCTTTTTCTAAGGGTTTAATCTGGAACCTACAGAAGGGGATCTACCAAGAACCCTTCATTATTCCAAGGGCTTCATCTAAAACAGTGGTTCTCAACTGGTCTGGCTGCGGGACCCACCATCACCCCTTAATGACAAGCTGCGACCCACGACCCAAATTATATATACAGTATATATATATATATATATATATATACACACAGTATATATATATATATATATATACACATATACACAGTATATATATATACACAGTATATACACAGTATATATATATATATATATATATATATATATATAATTTGGGTATATCTATATTCAAGATGTCTAGTAGTAGTAACGTCTCTGTGTAGTAAACAACTGCCAAATCAAATAAAGAAAGTACACATCAATTATATTTTAACAAATATTATTCTCATTTTTCAAATTTAACTGGATGGATTATAAATAATACATAGAAAGACATGAATAAATGTTCTTCTGATTTCAAGTAAAATAACAGCTGGATTAAAAAATAAATTACGTAACAGAATTCATTTTAGAAAATTTATTTTCACTGAATTGCCCTGCAGCTTTAAACTCAGTTCATTCAGGGTGAAGTGATGAAGCCACAATATTATATTTTTCTCATCTTCCAAAAAGAGAATTTAGTGTTGGAAGAATTCACCTCTATGAGTCTCTCCAGTCTGAGTCTAATGACTCTGGTCTCTCTGGACATTTTTCTCTTTTGTAAATCGTCTTATGATTTGACTTTCACGACTCACACTACAACAGTCCTGCTCTGCTGTCTCTCTCCTCGTCTCTCCCCGTGTGTCACGGTGTGTGTACATCTCACTGAGTCAGGAAACTTGTCAGAATACTCATGTTTGATTGGCTGAGCTGCATCACGTGATGTGATTCACAACGCATTGGTCGGTGTGTTTCCTGCACTGCTGAACAAGTGCCGTAAATGCTGGAATAATTCCGCTGCATAAAAAATGCCCTTCAAAATAAAATCACTTTTTTTTTTTTTGTCAGGCAAAGGCCCGCGACCCACTGAAAACGGGTCTGCGACCCACTTTTGGGTCGCGACCCACCAGTTGAGAATCACTGATCTAGAACACACCCAGAAGATTCTACAGAGAACCCTTTTATATTCCGAAGGGTTTCACCTGGAACCCACGTAGGGGTTTTTACCAAGAACCCTTTCATAATCCAAGGGCATCATCTAGAACCCACGCAGGGGGATCTACTGAGAACCCTTTTACATCCCAAGAGTTTCATCTAGAAAACCCTTTAGGCTGCCGTGATGCAGCTCAACCCACAACAATCATGGTTCGTTGGGGATTCGGACAGAATCTCGACTCACCAAAGTTCAGAACGGCCTCCAGAGACGTCCTGTCGGTGACGACCTTCAGGTGAGACATGATCTGAGGAGGAGACACGTCCAGATCAGGACGTTCCTTCAGCTGATACTTAACCTGCAGACAGAAAATACCACGAGGTCAGACTGGTTCTGAATCTCTGAGTCCAAAACAACCTGAAGAACTACAGCAGAATTCCTCTTCCTCTTTGTTGCTGTTTCCTTTTTCCTTCTGTTGCGTCCTTGTGTTAGGACGAGGGATCAGGAGTTCTGTAATTTTAACTGTTCATCATAACTTTTTTTTAGTTATAAACAAATATAATTAATTTACCAGAAGTGAGAGAAATTCTTTACAGAATTGGATTTTACAGAAAAAAAACATTTCCAGAAGAATTAAATATTTAGACGAAGGCTGTGATTTGTGTAAATATTTTTTTTAAATGATCCAACAAGTAGTTATCGTGCTCCAAAATGATGTGAAATTACATTACAGTCATTTAGCAGACGCTTTTATCCAAAGTGACTTACAATTCAGATTCTATCACATTTCTACACCGTAGGCACAACTACGGGAGCCATTTTGGGGTTAAGTGTCTTGCTCAAGGACACATCGACATGCAACTAGTGGAGCCTGAGCCGAGGATCGAACCGCCGAGGATCGAACCGCCGATCCTCTGATTGAAGGACGGCCCTGCTATCCACTTAGCCACAGTCACCCCAGAGTTTGCATAGTTTGGGGTTAAATAACCCAACATCTACTAAAGGGAAATACATTTAATCACTATTTTATGAAAATTGCAATGTGGCAATATTTGTTAAAGGCGAAATTTGAACCATTTTAAATGAAATATCATTCCCTCAAATATAATCGCAATTCGATATTTCTTCAAAATCATTGAGCCCTACTCTCCTTTTATGTTTTATTCACTGAACATCATAAAGATCGCTGATAAATGAATGAATAAAGGATGACCAGAACTTCCTGTAATTTGTCCGAAAGTCCAAACCATTCAAAATATGTTTCCACACCAGAACCGAAAACAGAACCCTGGTCTGGTTTGATCCGGGACCGAGACCACCTGTTTTCCTCGGGTCATGGTTCAGTTTGTTCTGAGGAGGTTTCACACCTGTGAAGGGTTCCCTCACCTGAGCTAGGTAGGTCATCAGGGCTGACAGGTCGTTGGTGTTTCTGGCTTCTTCTACAATGTCTGTCACTAACTGTTGGTTCTGCCACAGCTGCTTCATCTTCGTCATCCTCTTCTTAATCCCTTCGAACTCCGACAAACACAACTCCTGCAAAGAAAAACACAAACAGTTCAGTTTCTAGTCTCTGATCTCTGATCATGTTTCATTGTAAACAACCAATCAGAGGAGAGCTAGTAACGTTAGCAGCACCGCTAACGGCTAACCAACAGAGGTTCACTTCAGTTACATTATGATGCCTTCACGCTCTGCTCAGTGAACATGAGCACTGTCTTAAGGTATAAAAACACTATAAATTACTAAAACAAAGTAAAAGGACAATGATACAGACACTGTGATGATTCCCTCTCATCTGTTTCCATGACGATCTTTGTTGTTGTTTACGTTACCTCCGCCTGTTTCAAGATGTCCTGCATCCTCTTAGACAGATGTTTCACGACGATGTTAAACGACCCCTCCAGCTCAGACTTCAGATTAGAACGACTGTCTACGATGTCCTGCAGCCTGAGGAGGAGGAGATAACACTTAATTTATTAATCACTCATTAATCATAATTATTGATACATCTTGTTTCCTCGTTGCTGTTCTACCTGATCTTCATGTCCATCAGGCTCCGCCTCACTGTGTCTCTCTGCGCTGTGATTGGCTGAACCACTTCCTCCAGCTGCTGCTTCACATTGTTCAACGCCTCCTTGACAAACTGGTACCTGAGAGGAGGAGGAGGAGGAAGAGGAGGAGCGGGAGGAGGGGGAGGAAGAGGAAGAGGAGGATGATGAGTGGATATAACATGATTGTAGAATGAGTTGATTATTGAACAGTAATTATTAATTGAAGAGGTTTAAACTGTGATCAGATCAGCTGATGTTCCAACAGTAATTCTTCTTCTCTTATGTGCCTTTACTCAACAACAAGACTATATATAATGTTTATGCACGTGTGTGTTTGACAGGATGATATGGGACGTCTGCTGTAGCTTCCTTCAGAGGAAGTAACCAAATGGGAGCGCAGATAGTAATCACAGTGTTTAACCTTGAGGTACTAAACCACAGAATGTTAGAGTAGGAGCTGTTGTAGAATGTTTCAGGTAGAAGCAGAAACAGACGTCTTCGTGGGGACTCATTGTACTCCCGTCCGCCTATTCCCCAATCCTTTAAAAGCTTTACACATCCTGCAGCCTGGGCTCCTCCTCCCTCAGACTGCACAGGCCCTCAGTGGATGATTAAATACTACAGAGACAAACTTCTTCTCTCAATGTTCCTTATTTCAGTATTCAGTATTATAGGACTCACTCGGTACTATTATATAGTTTCCACCACACTCTACACTAACCTTCTGTTTCTACTGTGAAGTCTGAAGAAGGGCTTTAAGTTAAGTTAACTCCAGCTTGTTGTAGCATGTATGTTTTCTTTCTTTCTCTTCGTGTTTATTTTTCTTTCTTACTGTTATGTCGTAGATTTTGTTCTTATTATAAATGCTTTTATTGTTTCTGTTTTTACCATGTAAAGTGTCTTTGAGTGCCTTTTAAAGCACTATATAAATTAAATGTATTATTATTATTATTATTATTGTTCTAGGATGCTTTTATTGTGAAACTCTTGACACTGAAACAGGAAGCTGTTCCTGTTTAAATCTAAGCTTCCTGACACTTTCTACAAAATAAAAGTCATACAGATATATAGTCTCTGGGACATCTGTCTTGTGATGTCAGTGATACCTGTGGTTCATGTGAGCCGCCAGCTGACAGTCTCTACAGGTGAGCTGGTTACAGGTGAAGCAGAAGAGTTTGAGTGGCTCAGACGGGTGGAGTCTACAGAACTTGATGGGCGGAATCGAGACGTCTCCTGGAGACAGAAAGGAGACACTTTGTTGACATGTTGTTAAAGAGGAGATCAGTTCAACCTCCGGTTCTTTAAAGTGAAGTCAAAGCTTCATGTGTTGAAGCTGCATTCTCTCTAGTGTCCACCAGGGGGTGACTCCTCTGGTTGTATAGAAGTCTATGAGAAAATGACTCTACTTCTCTCTTGATTTATTACCTCAGTAAACATTGTAAACATGAGTTTATGGTCTCAATCTCTAGTTTCAAGTCTTCTTCAATACAGCATGATGTTCATTTAGTACATTATGGTCCATTTAGAGTCAAACAGACCATAAAGCAGGTCTTACTACCTGGTGAAATACAGTCCGACTACCTGGTGAAATACAGTCCGACTACCTGGTGTAATACAGTCCGACTACCTGGTGAAATACAGTCTGACTACCTGGTGTAATACAGTCCGACTACCTGGTGTAATACAGTCCGACTACCTGGTGTAATACAGTCCGACTACCTGGTGTAATACAGTCCGACTACCTGGTGAAATACAGTCCGACTACCTGGTGTAATACAGTCCGACTACCTGGTGAAATACAGTCCGACTACCTGGTGAAATACAGTCCGACTACCTGGTGAAATACAGTCCGACTACCTGGTGTAATACAGTCCGACTACCTGGTGTAATACAGTCCGACTACCTGGTG